GTACCAAATACAAAAAATAACTCATCAAATATTTTTGAGGTACAATTGTGCCCTGTATGTGGTATTACATTTTTTTGTTATTCCTGATAAGAAAATGTATTGGTATTTTATATTATTAGCCCAAAACAATTTCTTTGAATGTGTTTGGTATGTGGTTCCATTTTAAATATCAACAATAAATCATATTCTATATCCCTATACATTTTCCAGTGAGCCAAATATATCAATTTATATTTTTTTCTTAAGTAAATGTCAATAATGTGTTATTTTTAAAAATGTTGAGTAACAAAATAAAGATAAAAAATTTAGTTTTAATATTTGCTCTTAAACATAAATAGTTATTAGTAAAACAAAAATACATTAGAAAATCAATGCGCTGATATGTTAGATTTGTATTATAAAAATTACAAATAAATAATAATGGACCTAGTATAATATTTAAACTAAAATGTATTAATCTTAATAATTGGGATTTTGTTTTTTAGATCTTATTTAGGTTGAACATGTTGACTGTAGTGTTATGTGTTTGCATGAACCGGCCATACCAATTCTATTATTACATACCTCTAGTATCATTTTGGTTTACCATTCTGTACTTACTTTTAATTTGTCCACCTCGTGTAACTGCAGCTTCATCTGAAATAAGACCGGCCCAGTACTTATATATAATTTTAAAAATATTATCTCTTTTCATTTTCATCACCATTCTTTATATGTCTGAGGTATGTTTAATTATAATACCCATATTTTATATATATTAATGATGCATCTTAATAAATTTTAATTTTTAGGTATTTTTTGATAAAATTTTTCTCACGCGTCCATGGAAAGCCTTATTTGTAACTACGGATGACGATATTCATGAATGGTGGTATCGGTGGAAACTAAACCGTTTTAGGTAACAAATATAATAAATTCAGTCTAAAATATGTATAATAATTAAAAAAATATATGTTTAGTGTTGTTAATGGTGTAATACTGAGTTTTATCATCATATTAGCTCAACGTTATAATTTAATTGATGACAATAATCACAGTAATTTAGTGTTGCCTCGATTAGCTGTGTTCTCTTCATTTGTTGCATTTATTGGACTTATTGCCTCGACTGTTTATAATATTCTGTGTCAGAATAAAACAGAATGCTATGAATTATTATCTTATACATCAGTAATTCCTGTAAGATTCTGTAATAATTATTAAAAATTATTGTATTTACTAAATAAATATTATTTTTATTTACAGATAATAAGTTACATTATATTAAGAAATGTTTCTGGCGTATTGAGAACACGTTTCTCCAGTTTATTTGCTTGGTTTGGCAGAATATCGTTAGAATTAATGGTTTGCCAATGTCATATATGGTTAGCAGCCGATACTCATGGAGTTCTTGTATTATTGCCTGGTTATCCAGTACTCAATGGTTTAATTGTTTCTTTCATTTTTATTTGTATCTGCCACGAGGTAATTATATCCCATTGATACTAAATAATATCTAATATTCTAAATCATTTTTTTTCAATGCAAATATAATTTAACAGTTACATGATATTACAACCAAATTGACGCCATATGCTGTGCCATCTGATCATAAAGATTTATTCCGTAACCTGATATGTTTTATCTTGTTGTTAATACCGTTGGGAGCAAACGACGGTATGTTTTAAATACAGTATGTTCATGCATACACAATAAGTTGTCAATTGTGAAACTATTTTGTTTTTAAATTACCAAAGTAGTATCAATGAAACTGTATTTATAAAATACTGTAATATTTAGGTTGTTTTTATACTGAAGTTGTTAATTTGTATATCCTATGAAGGCAACTGTTGAATCATATTATTGTTACTATTAGTACTATTAATTTCTCAGAATCAAATGTTTTGACATGAACAACTATATTATACTATGATTATATTTTTAAAATTAGTATTAATAAAATAAATTTATTTTGTGATTTTTCTCCTTTGTTTTTAGTCATTATTTACTTAGAAAACTTAAGTTATCTCAGTTCCAAATTTATAATCTATTTTGTTCTATAGTTCATATGTAGGCTTTTTCTGCATTACATACTTCTTCTTTAATGTTAATCCAATTTTGGTTTAATAACAATACATTATTGTATCACCATTGTACCACCATTGTACCATATTGATAATAGTAAGGTACGCCACTAAGGTCTTAACTATTCATTAGCTTTGAATGTTTGATTTAATTATTTAAATTCTGGATAAAACATTACGTAAAAAAATATAATAGGATTACTGCACATTTTAAATATTTGTTTACACAATATTATTTCCATTACTCTTGTACTTAGTTAAGTAAATTAAAAACCGTTCTTAAAATATCAGGTTAAAATTAATGGTCGCTGAACTGGCAAAATTATACCAGTTATAAAATCTGTTATAAGCCAGTTAGCATTAACCGACACTTAAACAGACTTTGAAAGAACAATCCTAGGATAACAAACTTAGCAGTAATCAGGAATTACTGTGCTTAATATATTATTTAAGGCTCTTTATAGGCTTTTATAGAAATAAGAGACCTTAGAATTTAAAAATGCCCAAAACTTGCTATAGAGCTGACTTGTATGATATCCTTACACTTAAGTTTGATAATAATAACAATTGATTCTAATATTATAACTAATAACACATGATTGGTTATGCTAAATCTATCTGCAAAATGACTTTTTTGCGTTGGCCAGAGGGAAAAAACAAATTGTGCTCTGACATACTCTTAATGACTTAATTGTTCTTATAATGTAACTGAGATTTTAATGTCAAAATGAATATTCTGGTGTGAAGTTACATGAGCTTAGTTTTATTATAATTTTCATTATGTATTTCTTGGACAATTTTTGTACTCAAGAATAACTGTTAAAAATAATTCCACTATTCGGTCCGTGAAAATACTTAAAATGATGGTTGGGGCGTAAGGCACTCTTTCTTAGTTTTTGTGTTCTTAAGTTATTATTAGATTTAAAAAAAAGATTCTTCATAATGTGCCTGGAAGTAAACTCATGCAGATCATTATCAGATACTGTAGTCATTTAAAGGGAGGGAGGAAAATAATATCTAGTAATATACCAAGTTTTTTATTATATCATGACAATAACAATTTAACTGAGTAAAACAAGGTGGTGTAATATATATGTTTTTTCGTTACAACAGTGATACTCTATCTAATCTACCCAGAATATTGAGTAAATACAAATAGTTTGACCTGTTTACATTTCAGTATATTATACTATTAAACTAAACATACAAATTATTAACTTAAGTTTTTAACCAATATTAATAATAAATTACATTTTATACTTAGTATGAAGGCAGATATTCAATTGCATCTCGTGACTTATCATTTTTCTTAAGCATACCTAACAAAAATGATAATAGGAAGAATTTGAAATTCTGTTGTTTTTCGAATATTTAATCTCAATAACTAATCTGAATAATTATTTCTCCTAGATTACTATTCATTAATGGATATATTTGCCATTTTTTTAGAATCAATTAAGAATAATGTTTTTTGAAGTTAAGAACGATCATAAATCCGGATTTACATTTATCGTTTGTAGCTTGTAGGTGATAAATAATATAGTCTGTTGAAATAATAGACGAAATACTAAATAGCATAATAATGACAAAACTGCGGATAGCGTTTATCTGTATACGTAAAAACAAATTAAATGCCGAGGGTTCCTATTAGTATTCTTTAATCTGTGGTTCCAATTCCCAGTTTCCCACTATAAAACAGTTGTACCTATATATAATATATTACATAATGATGTAACGTGATGCCGGGCTATTACGAAATACGTCACCAACCTAATAAAAAAATATGATAATCGAAGGCAGTAAGTTGAATTATTAGAAAGAAATTTTGAAAAATTGGCTGTACCCGTATGGGTTGTAAGTAGCAAGCTTATACGTCTATTTTTATTATCACAAGGGCATTTATGCCCTTAATATACCGTATACCGAATAAAATAAAAATTATGTAGTTGCAAATAGTAAGTATCTAATTTTTTATTTTGTCATAGATTAAAATTAATCTTTGATTTTATCATTTCAATGATTAAATGCGTTGACCGTCGACAATTCGAATGACTATCAAAAAATTGTTTTTTACATCAATAAATATTTAAAGGAAATGATATTAAAAATTTTGTCTATTTTCATAGGGGGGTGAAATCATACATTTTTATTCCACACATAAAAGCCCCTACGAAGAAAAAAAACACGTTTTGGGATCCAAACATTGTAGATCGTACCTACCTATCTAATTGCGTGGCTTGACCGGCGGAAGAATTACTTGTAGGTACTGTTTTTTTTTATCGTTATGCTGATTTTATAATAATATGAATGTTTCGGCATAGGAGTATAGGACGTATAAAACATATACCTATCGTTGTGCGAGCAACGCGCAGCGAGTGAACGAAAAACCTGTATCCACTATATAGACGATAATATTATTTCATGGCCAGATGCAGTTCGGTATAATCCATAGAGTCTTGTTGTTAGTTTGCGTGTGGACAGTGAATGGTGTGTGTACAGTAGCGTTACAGCAAATTAAATTAACGCATTTCGTATCATTTGGCAAAATTATTTGAGGACGTCCAGTAAATTAAAACGAGCTTGCGCGAATAGGTACAATAAATGTGCTCTCGGCATCCGCGTTCAGTTCGGAATATTCGGATATCACGTAATTGTGTCTTGCTTTAATATCGGTGAGTAGGTGATAAATGGTTAGCTAATAGGATTTAAAATATTATTACGTTATGTCTAAGACTGTACCGTGAATAAGTGAAATAGTGAATAGGTATATCGTAGTACGCTAATATCATGTTCATGTACCTACAATATAGAAATCTACATCATTATAATATTTTGTAATAGTAAAAAAAATATTTAAAAAAACAACGCGGTCGATGTTTGTCAACCTGTCACCGGTTTATTTTCGTATATTGGCGTGCATGTCTGTGTGGCCATCTGTCAAATCGGCTGATTGGTCATATTCATCTGATAAAAACAATAAAAATGTTCTCGTTTTGTAAAAATTTATCACCAGTTCTATTGTGTATTTTGTGTACAAGAATTTTCAATATCATGTTATCGATCGTTCATAAAATAATGACTAAATGACCTACTATTAAAGTCGTAACCCAAATAATAGGTTGAGACGTTAGTAAACTTGTTTTCAAAGTAAAGGGGGTCACGAATTCAACACTATCAGGTAACGAAAAAAAACAAAAAAAAAAAACAATAATGTCTAAAACGACAGTCGCTATATTTAATTGTAACAATTTAATAATATTAATCAATTTAAATACTTCCTGAATTACTACTAAGTGTGTTTTGTATTGTTTTATATAGATGAAGGTTAAAGTTGAACAACATTAGGTATACAATATTTTTCACCAGAGTGTTAAAAGATGTAGTCGAATTTATTGTTCACGGAAAATGACAAACAACCATCCATCAGCCCAAACTGATCGGTCGACGGATTGGCGGTCACGTCGACCGGCGTTATGAAGAAGACCGCTGTTAATTATGAACGTACTCACTCGTTGGCGGATGATGATGAAGATGGTCGCGAGATAATATTAGAACGTGATCCATTCCGGCGCCCTAAGTCTCACCGAATCACTGTGCTTTCGGGGCATAATGGTTTGGAAGAGAAACCGTCTAAAAGTGATGTTGATTTACCTAAAAAAAATAGACATAGTTGGGAAAAAGAAGAAGAGGTGCTTCTGAATAATGAATCATCACTTGATGATGAAGATGATGCTGCCAGAAAACTACGAAAATGGAGCAAAAGTAAAATAGATTTATTAATGCCCAGTCTACGGTCCCTGGTCACTTTGGCCAGGGGCAAGTCATCCTCATCTTCATCATTAAATCAACCCGGTTCTGCAGAAAGTTGGTCACATTTAGAATGTATACGGAATGATGAACCAATTCGTAAATACAATACTATGGTAACATTATCTAATGTAGTACTAAATCGGCCTGCTGGAATCAAACCAATAAATCGATTACGAGATACTGCCATTTGTTCAAGATGTAGTAGTGTTTTGTCTTTGGCTGCGTCTTCATCTAGATATTCATTAGGATCAACATCAAGTTTTGTAACACATCGAGATCAACCTATTGTACTGTGTAAAGTATGTTTAAATGAAGTTCCTGTAAAAAATTCTTGGACACTTCAACAATGCGGCTGCTCCTATTGTATTGAAGTGAGTTACATTTTATATCTATACAAATATACCCCTACTATTACTAACCTTTTTATTGAAACTATGAGTTGTAATATACCTACCTAATTTAGAAAAAGTAAAATTATTTTACTAACAATTATTATTTATTAGTTAAATTGAATGCAACTTCCTTGTTTGTATTATACTAAATTTTAAGTTGTGTTTAGAGTGTTTGCATATAGTGTTGCACTTAAACTATAATTTTATTTTAAATATATTTCATAAATTATGGTAAATTAATCAAATTTCTGAAGTCTAGTATTAATATGAATTATTAGTTTAATCAATTTTTCAAATGTTGAAACAACTTGTATGTTTCTGAGGTTAGGTTAGGTATTCCATCAAGCTTAGAAACCAAATCAATAGATAATTTCTGGTACAATGAATTGAAAATTAAAATATGTACCTATACTTGTATTTATATATATATAGTTAAAGATATTTTTCGTTTAGTATGAACAAAGGTTGTTAATTTTTTCAAATATTTAATTGCATTCTCTTAAGATATTAAATTACTTTTTCCACTTTCATTTTCCAGTTAGATATTAATTTTTTGTAGAGGTTTGACAAGTTGACAACTACTAATTTTCTTACGCTAGGGTATTTCACTTTTTAATTGTGTTTTGAGTATGATTTTATCTTATATTACAATTGTCAATACTGCTATCTTTATTAGCTTACTTTCTACTGACTACCACCCACCTACATAATGATAACTCAGAGTCATAGCCTTTGCCAAGGAAATTTTAAATTACTGATCCTGGGCTCGATTAAAATAAATTGAATCCAAGTGTTTGAGCCAACTTGGAATCCTAGTCTGGAATTTAAATAATAGTGTTTTACTAAAGCTCCCCCGACTTTTCCTATATTTAAACTAATGCAGAGAAATCATTTTTAAATAAGTGTAATACGCTCAATAGTATCGTGTAGTACCTTTAATAAGCGTTTCGTCCCTTTCTGTTTATTTAAGAACATTAATATCGCCGCAACTTTATTTTTAAAATTTTTTTTTGTTTGTTTGTTATATTGTAAGGATAAAATATTCAAAATATAGGGCTGCTAAATCTTTACCTGTTAAACGTGAACTGGACTAAAGAGCTATAAATCCTATGTACAACTTTGATTGATAACCTATGAAAGCGGTCTTGTCCTGTCCCTACTTTTTGTCTACTTTTTTTCTTTATTGGAAATTAGTTAATCGGGCCTTTTTCCCGATTCATAACCCTGATGATGGAGTATGTTGTTTAGATCGTTCAGAAACTTGATACTCGGCTCGCCGCTTTAAAATAAACCCCATTGTTTTGAAATTACATGATACTATGTCACGTCATGGGTTTCTCAGATTGAACAGAAATTTCTAATATATTTTACCTACTCATTAGGTCCTACGGATTCTAAGTTTTTCGAATATTTACCTATAAACAAACAATCATTTTTTTATGTGAAATACTCTGTATAATTAAATCTCGACAAACACTTCAAATATCGAGGAGGCAATTTATGGGATCTTTATTAATGGAACGTTATATTTATGATATATTATTTAGTGTATTAACTATTTAATAGAAATATTCATAGCGTAATTTATAGAAAAATGATTCTGTAAAACCGGTCTTAGGTACCTATATAGGTACTTGTAGAGTTATACCGTTACATGGTTTTATTCTCGTATGCAGTTTAATTTTTTTTTAGAAAAAAAAATTATTTATTCACTAATAAACATAAAAAAAAAATAAGTTCATTCATTTTTATTCATAAGAAATATATATAATTATAATTCATGCTTGTTTAACGATTTTAGATCATTAATATTTGATTTTAATTATTTAAAAACAAGTACCGAACATTAAAATGTATTTCCTATATAGTTAACAAATTTAATTTTAAAACAATATATTATGAAACGTACTTATTGGATATTACTAAAATATTAAGATGCAAAGTCAATTATTAATTGCTATTTATTTAGGTAGGTACTTCAATACGAAATATATTATTTTATTGTATATGTAATAAGTACCTGCCTATCGTAATTATATAGAACAATAGATTAATGTTTCAGCTAGGCGGAAGGCACACACACCGTACACCAAAGTACTGTGACTGTGAGATGATAGAAAATCATTGGCCTTTACTATTATACTGGACAGTAGTGTGCCGCATGCGACATAGCGTGTGTTGGTAGTTAAGTTTTAAGTTACTAAAAACATTTCCTATGATCCATCATAGTGGTTTATTGTACCACAAATTAAATACTTAAGTGTCTGTACTGCAAATGAATTGTTAAATTACGTTTTTACAAACAATATTTTGAAACACGAGACTTTTTTTGGTGTTCTTCCAATTTAATATTTCTAACAATTTTATGGATTTATTAATATGGTTTATCAGCGCTTTTCGTAATTTTGATTTTATAATATTTTTTTTTTTTTATAAAATTGATGTATATACTTATTATTTATTGTATTATTTGTTGTTTATTAGTAATTTTTTATTTATTGTTTTATCATTGTGGCATTAACTGTAATACGATTAGAACTGTTGTATAGGGTGATTCATTATATATGTCCTGTTTTGAGTAGAGTGTAGTAATTACTCCACTATAAAAAGTCAGATAATATACTTATAATAGGAAGCTAACACCCACATTTACTGCGTCATAATTTATTCTATACATTTCAAATATTACAAACTTGTATTCTTCAGTCAACGATATATCCTTCAAATTTTTTTTAAACAACAAAACCTTTTATATAAAAACAAATAAAAAAATTTGTGATGTCTTGACGAAATAATTTTAATGTTAATAGTGTGAACGATCAGTTCTAAAAAGGATAGGTTCCTGGGCGAAAAAGGGCTATGGTGGGTGGCTCAACAGACATTGGCGGAACTATCTAAAATGTGTTTAGGTGAACAGTAATATACCGATTGGGTGAGTGCTTATTTTACAAAAATACCTTTGGTCGAATAAGTATAAATAGGTTTTTAAATAAATAAATTTATATGTTGTACCTATAGAAATATTGTAATATTGTAATATTCAGTCAACATTAATACACATTTTGAAATTAATAAAAGAAAATCGTAGGTGTACGATATTATTATGTAGGTCCATTATAGAAATAATTTATAATGAATCCTATTTTTAAAAAGGTTCGCATCAAAGTCACCAGATTTTTATCTTACACAGGTAAAAATAATTATACATTCCCAAGCTAAATGATAGTTACCCCAACAGACTATTCGTTTTTTGGTCAATTTTATTACCTATGCCCAAACGACCACCGCCAGGCCTGAGCCCTCCCCCTTAAAAAAAAATAAATCCAGGACATACAATTTAAAAAACTGAAACTTAAATTTTTGGAATATTTAATGTATTAGATCGTATTTTGGCCTTTTAATGGGATTTTTCTTTTTTTCGATATTCTAAATAAGTTTTGTCTTATTAATATGTTTCACTTTCTGAACGAATGTCGTACTAAATGAATAATAACTTGAATTTGAAATATTTTACATTGATTTTTTATATTTTTTAAATTATATCTCAAGTACATTTTATACTGAATGTTTTGATATTTAGATGCCTATATGGTGTTTTTAGTGAATTTTTCGAGATTTTAAGGGTTTTCCGTGTATTAAATTCACAGACCTAATTATTACTAACGGTGTGTATAAATAATGTACTTGAATATAAATGTGAAGTGTATTCAAAATATAAATTATAGCTGAGATTCTGAAAATATAATTAATAGTAATAATAAAGTATTCCGTATTAAATCACCAACTGTTCGGGGCCGTATATAATAATATTTTTATAGTTATAATTACAGGCCCTAAAACTGATTAATTTGTATTAATCGTTTTATAAATTACATGAACTAAATATGTGCTTGTATGTGATTATGTATAAGATTTTAAGATTAAAATAAAAATAAATGTTAGTATGTCAAAAATATTTTTCATTCTTAAAGTAGATTGATATGTTTAGTTTTGTACCAAATTTAAAACGACATTTTTTATTGTAGTTTTTTTGTTATGCCAAATTTCAATGAACTTAATAATTTTGTAATAATTTTATTATATTTTAAATTCATGGCAATTTATATAGTATTGATTTTACAATTATTTGTTTTCTTAATATTTCCCCTGGTTAGAGCCTTAGAGGGAACTTCAAAAGTTTTAATTAGATGTTTTGTTTATTTAAATTAAAATGTTATTAATCAGACTATAGAAGTCTGGAGTGGGTAATAAAAAATGTCGAAATACTGAGGAAATGTATGGATTGTTACTTTCTAACAGAAATTGGTTTTCGTTATTTTTGTTGTAATTCAAAAAATAATCCATAATACTCAAAATATTCGTTTATTTGGATATTATACATATCGATATGGCATTTATCCAACAATTGTAAAATTGTATTTATTATATTATATCCACGAACAAAATATTAAAATAATAACAAACTTAATTTTTGATCATTTATTGGTTCAGAATTGTTGTAAAAACTTATGCAAAAGAATAATTTAGTGGTGAAGTGAGCAATTACACTCTTTGGATTTCGGTTTGTAATGTTTTGCGGGAAATTACTTGTATTTTATTATTTTATTTATATTCCTATATGACTTAAAAATCAACTTTACAACAATAGTATAAATAATGAAGAATTAGTTATAGTATAAATAATGTTATAAATTAATGCTAATAAGTAGATTAATAATATTTGGATATTATATATCGTTTGTGTATCACTAAATTGTCAATTTTGACATTTTTTGTAAAACGGTTGCGTATTGTTCAATGCTTGAGTTGTAAAGCATTTAAGCATCGTTTGCGCATTGCCCGTTTACCTTACGTCAAATTATCAAAAATTCATATTATTTGCGCATCAGTGTAATTAACACTATAACTGGAACGTCTGGAACAGATTTAGAGTACCCAAAAGCGTGAGCTGTGAATTTACTTTCAGCTTAAAATTTGACGCTCTTAATATTTTTTTCAGATATTGTGTATAAAGGTATTCCTATACCTTTAAAAATATAAAACGTGCATACGGATGTCTCCTATTATAACCATGATTAACTCATAGATTTTCATCGCAGTATGGATCTATATAATTATGATTGTTACTCAAAATGTAATTGAATCAGCCAATTTATTTTTTTTATTTCATATTATGTATACAATGTACATATACTTATTAATTATTATATATTATGTGAATTATATAGACAAATGTTAACTTTTTAAGTTCAACCAGAATTTGGTATTAAAAGTTCTATTAATACGAGATGTACAACTTAAGTACTTTTCAATATTTGTATACCCCTGCATTGTTCGATATGTTGATGCGCCAATACTATTTTTGCGTAGGTAAACAGACAATGTGCAAACGATAATCGACCTTTGAAACGCAAATAATGTACTTACTTTATTTTGGTGCAGGTAAATAGACTTTGCGCAAACGATGACCGGTGTAATGAGAGGTATATAATGTATATGCGTCAACAGGTAGTAATAATGGTAACACAATATTATAAATAAGTTATTAGGTTACAACTTAACAAGCACATTTGTAAACTGTTTATTTATTCCATTGGCTTTGATGTTATGACATATTGCATGAATAATCCACCCAATTCCCTCGCCTGGCATTCCATTATGGTATGATTTATAGTTTGACACTATGACACTCCATACTATCTTTTTAAGTATCCATTTTGTTCATCAAATTATATCCACATCGACCCCTGCCGACCAGTAGTCAATTTTGTACAGACTACTCGTGTCTAGGCAGTCCCATTCCGTATACTCCTTAGTTGGGGTTTACAACCAGATTTTTCTTAAAAATAGAAAATGATTCAAAGATTCAACATGCCATTCTGTAGCCGATTAAACGCCGTGTTCGTAATTAGGTACTTTATTGTTTTCCAGAATAGGAATAATGTATAAATTATAAATATTAAATATATTCATATAATATATAATTCTATAGAAAGTATTTTGTCAAAATGTTTTTATCATGTTATATCGTTTTATGATGGTAAATAATAATTTGATCGGAAATAACTAACATGCAACGAAATTACTGTTTCAGGTAGACTGAGTTCTTGTTAGTTGCTAACTTTCAAAAAGTCTTCTACAAAAATTGAATATTGGACTAGTTAGTACCTTCTTTTGAAAGGAAACTTTTACAAATTTTCGGGGACTGTTTAAAGAATTACAGTGAATTATTGAAAACTGTGAAATTGGAATTTACAAATAGAACGGTTTTATGCGAACTGCTTACAAAATTGGTTGCCATATGAGACAGCACCAATATTAATCATTAAAAATAACGTAATTTGTAGCTGCTAAAAGTAAATGTGATGAATAAATAGCTATGTATAGTATATAATATAATAAATCAACCAATGTTAGATGTCAACTAAAAATAAATAGTTATATTTAATAAAATACACAATAATTAATAATCATAAAATTAAAAACAGCTGGGAAAGACGAGGCTAGGTAGTCTTAGTCTTAGTCTTAAGTTGTTTTGCATCACTGGTAGGGTTTCACTTAAATTGGATAACACATTCGAAGAATGATTCTGAGTTCATCATGATTTACTTCTTGAGTGTAGAAAATTGAAATCTTAAAATGTTTTATAATCACCTCAATAGCCGTTCTCAATTGTTTTGATAACAGAATAATTTATATATATCAACAATATCTTCGGTGTCTTGGGATAACTAATACATTTCTGTATTTATTAAATCACAATTATAAAAGAAAAATACGTTTTTTTGAAAAATAAAAATTAATATTTTGTTCAATAATTTAATAATGCTTGCTAATTACCGATACAAATAGTATAATGCAAATGCTTTCCACAGTTTTTTTTTCGTATAATTGAAAATACTTTATTATTTTGTCTGATTGAAGAATGTTGTGTATACCTAAGTGTCTATTCGTTTCTGCATCCAGATTTCGTTATCGTTGATGCCAATTGTCAATGATGAAAATCCGTTTTGCGTTCAATAACGTTTTATATGTTCTTATATTTCCCTACGGTACCCTATCGATAACTCTGAATTTGTCAGTTGTCACTTATCGTAGGGTATTCACTTCATAGTAATATACGTATAGGTATTACTGTATTAGGTACTATAACTTGTAAGTTATATGTTTACGGAAAGGGAATAAACAAGCTTATAATTATAAATACGTATCAGTATTTAGTCGGTCGTCGGTCGGACGTATTTTGCGGTAGAGCATGATACTGTATGGTGGGCATGGTCCATAACAATAAACTTTTTATTTTATTTTTATTTTTCCTAAGAATTATAAAAAATAATGTTTCTTGTAGTATATTCTCATATTTAATAGGACTTCTCTACCGCATTTATAATCTCCGCTACAAGTGCAAATTAACGGGTAGCACTGCAGCAGTTCTCATTTAGCTTCATTTGTTTTAATATTAGAGTGAATTTACCTATTATTTAATTTAAGTTAACAATATACTTAGTGCTTTGTCGGAAATGTATTTGGAAACCTAGAATTAAGATAAGAAACAAGCTTATCACTGAATATTTAATATAATCGCTACAAGTTATACTTAAGTTGTTTATTTTTTTATTTTACTTGGTCCATGTAATTTACTAACGAAAAATATTTCTTTGTGTGTAATGCAAATTCAATTCAATAGTACCTATTTGTTGTAATTTCCATATTTTTATTAGGAAAATAAAACAGGTTTTGGTGTTATATTTATTTAACCTTGCATTTAATCAAACTATTTTTTAATTATGTTTTTATTATTCAGAAATCAAGCTTAATTATTGCTATTAATAATTTTACTAAAAGAAAAAAAATGTATTATTGTAATTTAATTAATACCTTTATTTAAAATGCCTATTGTATAAGCTTTATATAATATCTCTAATATTATATAATATATAAAAAATAAAGAAATAATCATAAATTGTACAACTTGTTTATTTACAGTGTGTGAAAGCATATGTGGAATTTGAAATTAACCAAGGTGCATACAATATATCTTGTCCAGATGCTCAATGTCCGAAGCAAGGCATAATCCAGTTAGAAGAAATAGAAGCATTGGTCAGCATTGATGAAATTGAAAAACATCAAAGATACAGGCTTAATAAGGGTAAATAAAATCATTATACATTTACAAAATACAAGAATTAATTGTAATTATCAATTATAATGTTTATTGAAACTCAAATGGCATGCATTTATAGTGGGGATGAAGTATATGAAAGCTACAACACCATTTGCCTCTTACACTTTATTATATTTACTATCAATTAATTTCATTGACATAAAAAATACTAAATAAATATTTTTTAATTAAATGAAAACAATAACCAATTGTTACACTGGAGTTTTCTAATATTTTTTCTATTAATACAACTTACATTGTATAGATAATAAATATAAACAATATAGTAACAGTCTAAATATCATTAGTAGATCTTGAGCAGATAATTGTATTGGATGATCATATAAACTAGTAGTTTTTTCTATACATGACGGTGTACTATAAAATTATATTTTATTAAAATATATGTTTATGAATGTTTTAGGATTTATGTATTTTTATTTTGTATGTAATGTGTTGGGTTTTTTTTTACAACTACATAGCAATTAACTGTGTGGTTAAATATAGCTAACATATAATAATTTTAAAATAGTCATATTTAAAAATTACTTTTATGTTTTATACTCTTTACATTTTAAAACTTCTCAAAAACAAATAATGTAAAAAATTATCAATATTGTGTACAATTACATCCTATGTTTTTTATGAGCTCGACTACATTAGCAAACAACTTAATTTAAATAGTGTGTATAGTCTTAATTCTAATGATCAATCTGGTGGAAAAATTCTAATTGATTATTCTTTGTTTGGTTTAGGTTGTGATAGTATTTTATCAACCTTGAACATAATTATTTCATATTTGGTTTATAGATTTTTCATAAATATACGAAAAAACCTAAGAAATTATTTTTAATTTAACATTAATATTTTTCCTATAAAATTGGCTTAGTATTAATATTTTTTACTTTAAACCTTAGATTAATGAATTTATTAAGAATCTCTTATCTATATTATCCTTGTAAATAAAATCCAAATACCACTTAGTCACTGATTGCTGTAACTCAAAAACTACGCAACATATGAACTTGAAATTTTGAATAGAGGTTCTTCTCATATTTTCACCATGCATTAAGAAAGGATTTTCAAAGATGTTGCGTATTAGTGGAGTAATTAACAATTATATTTGTATTGTGTAGCATGACTGCCCGCGATCTTCTAGCTACCTGCAACTTAACTTATCATTTTTCTCCTACATGTAGATAAGAATTATTTCGAGAAGTTATATGGATACATTGTAAATATGAAAAAAATACACTCGGGCAAAGCCGGATAATTCAGCTAGTAGTATTATATAGTGCGTCCTGTCTTATGTGTAGGTACTATAATATAATTTGTTAGCTATCACAAAAAACCATAATTCAATCTAAGGTAATTGGGTTAAGATGTTAAGATATTTAGCGGATGGTGGTAGATAAGTCTGAAAACACATTTGGTGGTACACATTTCTTTAATGTTATTTTTACATACTAATTATACATACTTGTTGTGTGTGTGTGTGTACTCTTTGTGTTGATTAAATATAGATTTAAAATTTCAATTATTTATACTTTAAAAATATACATTTGAAACTAATGAACAGTAGAATTAAGCTTTATTGGTTTATGACTTTTGAGACTGGGAGGTTTTCTCTTATTATTGGAATTATAGTGATAATTTAAGATTAAGATTAATATCTTAATCGATAAATATTGGTCAAGATTTTTTTCATTGTTATTTCCTATTGGAAAATTCCTCTCTAATTGAAATTGTTGTTTTTGATATTCCATATGAATAAAGCTTTTAATCCCTGTATAATTAGTGCATAGGCACAACTAGGGAAGCACAAACCTTGATAATTAATTTCAAACTAAAATATAATTAAATAACTGGGGGTTGTCTAAGTCTCTCCCCCCCCTCCACATAATCCACATAATTATGCCTATGATTTAATGACAAATTATAGATGTATAATTTTTTAATAATGATTGTATATTTTAATATGTTGATTTATTTTTGTGGTGTATTATTGGATTGCTTAAAAATTAAATTTAAAGTATCAGTCAAATTGTATGGTCATTAATATGCAGTGGTGGACTGAACTTAGATTTTAAATGAAGCATTTTCATAATTATTTATTTACCACCACCACCACCTACCATATTTACTTATAACAAAGTTATGATGTAAATAAAATATAGCCAAAAGACCCAAGCATGTAACTCTGCGCTACAGTCACGGGGTTGCACCAACCCCTTAGAAAAGTTGTCGCATCTATGTCAAAATTGAGCCCTTCAGCCTGTCACTGATAATATGATGTATAATATATACAGTTATATATTACATACAATTAATTTTAAATATTATTATTGATATGTTGGCTAACTTAATGTTAATATTCCATCATGTTTTGAACAATTTATCCTTGTTGACAATTTATTATGATTGATATTTTTTTAAATTATTACTTTTTTATAAATTTTTTGAATTACATAATCTTAGAATAAAACAATTTTTAATTTGTGTTTTTTGATTTTATTTAAATACTTTACCTAGAATATAATATTTGATGATAAAATTGGTCTACTTAAAAATTATATAGTACTCAATAGTTAAATAACTGAGTTAATAAAATATTCTAATTTTTTTTTTCTGTCTTATTTTTAATTTTAATTATTATTTTTATATTTTATTTACAGAAGTGGAATTGGATAAAAGTCGTATGTGGTGTCCAAAACCAGGATGTGAAACTGTTTGCGATGTTGGTGATCGTTCTCGACCACATAGTGTAATATGTCCTACCTGTCAAACCGAATTTTGTTCGGGATGTCGAGCAACATGGCATCCTGGAAAACCATGCCCTCCGCCAACTACACAGGACATGCCTACATTCGATTCAGATTTAATTAAATGTTGTCCCATGTGTAGTGTACCCATTGAAAAGGACGAAGGCTGTGCTCAAATGTTATGTAAAAGATGTAAACATGTCTTTTGTTGGTATTGTCTTGCTTCTTTGGATGTAAGTTGAGTAATTATAAACATAAGTTTTATTTCAACAATTCAATTATTACATTTTTAAATTTCAGGATGATTTCCTTTTAAGACATTATGACAAAGGTCCGTGTAAAAACAAATTGGGTCATTCTAGAGCTTCCGTAATATGGCATCGTACCCAAGTGATTGGTATATTTGCAGGCTTTGGTATACTGCTACTTGTTGCTAGTCCATTGTTATTACTAGCTGCTCCATGTATAGTTTGTTGTAAATGTCGGGTATGCACCAGTGGATCAAAATTAGATGATCCTGATGATGATATAATGGATGAACCTAATTGACCCAGTATACCAAGTATGCATCATCAAATAATTGAATTTTGTTTTTGTATTAAATGTTATGGATTGATTAATCAATAATCATGCAATAAATGTTAAGATTAACAATATGCCACCTAGTCATCAAGTTTATTTACAGTGTAAAGCATTAGTTATATTAATGTCTTTATAATCTATTTTATAACACAGACAAATTCACCTTGCTAGTGGTATGACTCTAAAATTGTATTATTAAAAAATATTAAGTTTTTTTATTTTTATTTTCACTTTCTTATTTGTGTTTTAAAATTATAAACCTATACATAATTTCTAAATATAAAAAAAATATTACAATTAGTAGACAACTTAATTATGTATATTGTATACATCCATACACATAACTAGGTACATAGTATATACATAATACTTTTAACATATATTGTTAACCTTAAAATTTGGCATTCATGCTGTTTGACATTGATAAAAAAAAATATTTAACTTATATTAGATGTTTATTTTCTCTTATACAAATTTGAATATGTCTTATTTCCTATTTAAACTTGACACATATTGTGTTTTCTTTATTTAAAAAAAATATTATTATAATATATTATATTTTATAATCAATTTAAACCATCCAAAATAATTGCAGTTATTTAGTTTATAAATTATAACTATTTTCAACTTAAATTTTAGAATGAACTTCAATTATATAAAAATAAATAAATTATCAATATTTTAAATTAATTGTTGACATTTTTTTATTGATAGTTGTTAGTTGATACTTACTAAAGTGTATTAGATATTTTATTAATTTAAAATTGAATTTTAATAAATTATTATCTTATTTAGATAAATCACATTTATAAATCACTAATATTAGCGTTATTAAAAACATGTTTAAATAAGGCTATAAAAACCACTGATTTGTTATTATAAAATTACGTTATTTAAATATAGATATTTTTTAATATGATAATTATTAACTAATGATGAAGACAATACAAATTGAATAAACCTAATTATTGCAAGATATTGTTTTTTTAATTATAGCTAATTTTTAAAAATGTAAATTGTATGAAAAATATTTAAAACATTTATAATAAAAATGGACAATTTAAACTTTCAAGAGAACAAACAAAACATTTGTGAAAATATTATTTGTTTGCATTTATTCAGTTTTTGGTCGAAAATTTAATTTATTTTATATTATGGTCAATAATTTATGAACTATTATGTAGACTTGTGAACACCACATTTTAGTTCTTATTGATACCTTAACTTTTATTCTTGTATTATTGTCAAAATAATAATTTGAAATATTCTATCACCTAGTAGCTTAGTATATTTCTTTGTTCATGATAATTTATAACTATTAAGAAAATAAAAAATTACTATAAATGTAAACTTAATTAATTGAGTAAATTAATGTATGTAAACTATAAGTTTATGTATTTTTTTTTCTAGAAGAAAACTTAAATTTCATTCCATTGTTAATGCCAGTGATCAGAAATATTTTACATTGTATTTTATTTGTATGTATTTAGTTTTTACTATGTGCTATACCCTAATTACTTTTTCAATGTAACCACGAGTTTCGACCAATTAAATTGTTTCTTTTTTATATTGATCTCTTATGTAATATAATAAACAATATTACCCAAATTATTGGATCATTGTAGTTAATTTAATTTTTGTATGTATGTAAAATATGTATGTTACATTCTATATAATTGTTAGATCTAATTATAATATATGTGTTTAGTTAATGTTATTATATACATATGTATATTGTTTAGATTAATTTGTTTCCGTTTTAACGCTGTGATAATATTTAAAAAAGTATATTTATTTATAAATAAATATATTATATTGAAACACATACCTGTCAACTGTGTGATGATCACAAAAAATGCTGTCTTTAAATTTGCATTATTAAAATATTGTGCTTATAAAAGAATGTAATTAATATTATTATATTTGTTTAAATAATATATGATAATTTTTTAGACTTAATTCAAAAATTGTTATAAAATGGTAACTTCGCTACAAACTATGAACTGTAGAACAAATGTGTGTATTGTTACTACTTACAGAAATTGCCTAGGTGGACTTTTGGTGCTAAATGTTATCACTACTTTTTTAAACTTATAATTATAGCTGTATATGATTAACAGGCATCATGCAATAGTATCTCTAGTAAATAAAGTGTATGTTTGATGCTAAATTTACTTTTATTGCATTAAAGTTACTATTCTATCGTAATAGCTAATAGGTAACAAATAATGTTAATAAACATATGTTTACTAGGAAGTTAGTTGTTTAAAAGATATTTTATATTTACAATGGTATATTGTTGAACAAAGCGATCACTTTGAAAGGAGAAATCACAGTGGATTAGTTGCAAATAATTAATTGTACGTACAATGATTGGTTACCAGGATATTAAAAACTATTTATAAATATGTTTAGTTATTATTTTATTTTATGTTTCATAATATATGTCATCTACGTCAACACTACAACGAAAAATCGATTTTAACAAATACTGAAACATATACATCATATATTTTATAATATAAAATAAAATTCACATTTTCTAATATTAAATAAAACAAAATAATTATTTGTTTGTCCCTTGTTCTAATTTCTAAGTGGGGAGACGTTGTCTCTTTGTCTCCTATGACGCTTCACCACTGATAATATACCTATACAATTAATCATTGTTGAAATTATTCATTATTTTTAAAAAAGGGTGTTACTTTACATATATTAAAATTAGTTTTTCAATTTTCTTTGTATTTTTTTTATAAATGTCAATAAAATTTTATTTGTTGAATCAAAAAGGGTGAGATTTTTATACAAGGCTTCTGACATATTATTTTAATATCAGTTGAAAAATACTAAAAATATATTAGCATGCTTTTGTTTAATAATCATTTAAAGTTCACATTTTGACGAAATTTCTCACATTAAAATTTGAAAAATGATTTTGTATACATTTTAAATAAAAACGTATTCAATTTTTCAACTTTTACAGCTAAGGATTGTTATACTTAAAACAAGGTCCTACGTAAGTAATTAATTCTGTAACCAAAAAATCAAAAAATAAACATAAGCTCAGCTTTTTTATAGTTATTTTAAGTTCAAAAATAATGATTTCAATCATTTTGTTGAAATTCTGTTCCAAAACAGCCTAATTTTACATAACTACATAAGTATGTACAATATTTTTTCAGCATCATTGATAATTTAAGAATAATATTATGAATAATATTAATTCAACTTACCCCCTACCGTATTAAATATTAATAATAAGTAATAGTGACAATATAAAATATCCCAGGCTGACATACATTCTCCGCTCAAAATCGTTTTCGTATATATCTATTAATTATATTATATCATTGAATTCAAACTTAATACCATCCGTTACAGCGATCTTCTAGACACCTAATATACAGCAGAGCGACATCCACTTACCCGCTTTTTGTTAAAGTTTAAAAATAATGTTCGTGGAACTTAAAATTTATCGTTGAAACGTAATTATTATTCACTATTGTAAGCGAAAAGTTGGTACGGTCTATTGAGTTTTGAACAAAAGAAATGAAATTGGCAGAATATTGGTACCGTAAAATATTTTATTTTCAGTAGTTCGAAAAATGTGTCCAAAATTAAATAAAATATAAATTCGCAATATTTTAACGGGTATAATAATACAAAAATGTGTTAAAAATTAAACTAAATATTAATTCATAATAATTACAATAGAAGTTCCTGCCCTATGGTATTTAAAAAAATATCCATTGTAATTTCTTTATTTAAGTATCTAGTTTCTATTTATTAATAGTCTGTATTGAAGTAAGGTAAATTTTTATTTTTTTTTACTAAACCCATACAGTATTATATCTTTATTCATTATTATCAACATTGTCTTTTGTCGTTGTAGATTAGATTAATACTTCCCTACAATATCATACGATACTTATCTAACGTGTTACGTGTAGATATTTTACGATTACTTTTTTTATAGTTTAAAAACCTTGGTTTTTAACGACCGTACCATATATAATTAAATTTTTGCAATATACTTAGATTTTAAACATGTATAATCAGTCCCGTAGGATTTATTTTCCAAAGGAATTAATATAACATATTTTATATTTGCCATATACCTAAATACCTCCGTGCAAAATGACTTTTACCCATCGTTCACCTCCTCCTAGGGAAACCAAGGAACCTCCGCTTCGCTGAAGCTCACTTCCTCACCTATTAGAACAATTTCCAACGAAATACAAATTACCACCTCAAAAATTCCACACCCAAATGGCAATACATCTCATAATTGCAGAAAGGTTAAACCAATACAATCAACAACTATGACTTCATCTAACCAACAGAAACAACGGCCCCAACCATCACCTACCACCACCACCAATAATCCAACAATAACAAGCTCCAAAACTTTAGGAGTAGGTAGTATAGAAAAGTATGTTCTGAAACATAGTCCCTATAGTCAGGCTAACCGAACCTCGCAAATCCTGTATAGTTGTATGAAATTGTCGACCTTTTTGAGTGAATATTTTCTTATGACCTTAATACCTTATATTTATAAAGAAAAAAAGTTTATTTAATAATTTCAAGAGAGTGAAAATATTTTGAAAATCGTAGCATGTAATTAAAATTATAATATTCCCAATTTAGGTATGGTAATTCTTCGTTCAATTACAATTTATAACAGAATATGAAAATTGTATATGAAATAGCTATTCTAAAATGTTCCCGTGTTTTTCTTTTTTTGTGACTTCCGTATAACTAGATTCGCTTTCCTATCGGAAAAGATATTGAAGTTGAATTTTGAAGCTCAAAAAAATAAAAACAGAAGTGTATCATTGTAAAACCAATACGTCCATTGTTCGTTTAGTACCTAAAATACATGTTGTATGAATGTTTTTATTTTAATCATGTGTGTGTGTGTGTTTTGTTTATCTTCATCTTATGGATGAACACAAAATACGTTTCAAACTTTAGATTTGA